TCTTTTCAAAAGCCAGTGCCAGATGGCACCTGTCACACATATTTTAAAGTATTCTGTAATACAGTCGCTGATCAATTTTTCAGACGCTGATAATTCGGACCTAAAGGAGGAACCATGACCTACCCGATAGAAATAGAGCATGCTCATGATCAGTGTTTCGGACAGCTTGAAGTCCAAAAGTTATCGTTGTGAGCGATCAGCGGGAAACACCACCTAGCAAATTTTAGATTCTATGTTGGCTGTACATGGATTGGCTTGGTTTGGCAGCACTACTTGAGTACTGCTAAGTCCTACCGCTAGGTGGTGCTATACGGCTTTTTTTTTTTTTTTCTCTAGCTGTGCTTTATTGTCATCATCATGGTTACCATTTCGCTTTGTTTGTTCGCCATTGCAGTCGTGGATTTATGCCTCTCATCTCGTCTCGGTGAATCATGTTTTCGGACTACGCTGGCTTGGACATCGTGGCCCCATCTGTTCTTTCGCCGCCACAAAGTGTCGTTAAGAAGCGCAGAAAGTACTCGACCATAATGCTAGAAAAGAAGGCAGCAATTCTCAAGCTAAAAGAAAGTGGCCGAACGCAAACAGGCATAAACTGAAACAAGGCACGCTGGCGTAACCTGAAGCAACGCATTCTTTATGGCTTTTTTTAACCTGCATAGACGTAACAAAGGCAAGATTTTTAATCTGCTGATTATTCGAACTGCTCTATTATTGGAACATTTTTTCGGTCCCTGAAAAATCTGAAAAATCGGTCAGTGACTGTAATGACAGCAATATTCCATGAATGTCTCAAAGGTTGCATTGAAAATAGGGTCAGTCATTTGGAGTGAGTCATAAAACCAAGCACGAGGTCCGGCCAACTCGTTGACAACCAATTCATCAAATAGGCCAATTCGTAATAGGGCAATTCTTCGAATGGGTCGAATGACCGCCCAAGGTAAAAGTTTGTAGTTTCTATCTTTTTACCTCCATTCTTAGGTTACAAGACTGCAAAAAAAGTCACAAGAAGGCAAAGAGAGGACAGTACCTTGAGACAAGTTGAGAAATGTTCATTTGGGGTCATATTTTTGTTACTTTTCTTTATTATTTTTGTAATGAACCGATGCAGACTGTCGCTGTGCGAACAGGTGGGCCGGGTAGGTTAACACCTGCCCCAGTGAGGCACGCGCGATGTAGTGATCGTTCCCCGCTGCACCGTGAAAGCGGTAAGTTATCTTCAGTGTGAAAGAGCACACTAATAGTCAAATTACCGTGTGGTGATGTTACAGACTGCTGTAGGGCAGGATTCGTTTTCAAATTTCAGGACATAATTTATATATTTCGCCTTTGAAACATTGCAAACTGGTTAGCTTCTTCAACAAGTTGCCCTATGACGAATTGGCCTCTTTGACGAATGGGCCGCCGACGAGTTGGCCTAGACCACCAAGCACTTCTGGCCATTACGACAACAGGAGCTTTTCAACACATATGCTTTCTCCAGACCAATTGGGCATTTGGTTTTCTTTCTTCTCTACAGAGCTTTTGAACTGCCTCATATTCTAAACATCTTCAGCTACCCCACCCCACCCTCCCCCCTAAACACAATCTGTTGCATTCCCTGGAGTTTGAGAACTGCTGCCCAACCTTGTTTCATGGGATTCATAACAGGAGCCAGCTCCTTTGCGAAATACCTAACCACTCAAAGAAACAGGTTAGTAAGGGGTTAACCAAGAGATCTAAAAAGCAGAAACTAACATCTATACTCTGTTTCATACTTAGCGTGCAACGCTGTTAAAGCTACGGGCGCGAGCGCGTGGCTTCATCTATGGTTTTGTTTGCGCGAGATCGCATGCAAATGATCAACGATATCAAGCCCCACGCTCGCGCCAGTAGCTTTGAAAGCGTTGCACGCTAAGTATGAAACAGAGTATAGTGTTGATGGACATACTCATTCGCAGTGCAGGTATTCTAGTTTGCAATCCAAAGAAACAGGAAGGCTTATTAACTTGGTTGGCTCAAGGTAGCAATAGTGGAACTTTTAGGAGCTGGTATAACTTTTATAAATCTACCTTTTGCAACGTGCCAGCATACAAAGAGGTGGCAGATGTCCGGGTGCTCCCCTTCCAACCAAGCACTCAGCTGGGGGTGCCTGTCCGTCACAAGCACGGCCACTACGAGAGAGTGGGCCTCGAAAATGTCTAGAGACCTTCTAAGGCCCTCCAACTCCATGTGGTAGCTGCCACCCGTTTCATTGCTCTGAAACGAAACGGGGAGAACATTATAAAGTACAAATGAAGTAAACATGAGACTCATGTTAGTATAAAAAGTTAACTTTTGGGCTAGCTGTATAAACATCGTGAGAACAATTAGAAAAAGGACAAGACAAAAATACGAACAGGACGAAACCTTGTACTGTTCTTATCTTCGTCTTGTCCTTTTACAATTTTTTTTGTGAAGTTGATATATTGAAACTATTCGTGCATCCCTCTAGAAGCAGGGATGGGCATGACACCTTTCTTCATTATGCAGCAAAAATATGCTTCAGGAACGGCAATATGATCTCGCACAGAGGCGTTCAGGATGCAGTAGTCGGAATGCATGCTGAGGCACTTCACGCAACATTTTACCCCCTTTGGCTGGCAGTAAGCTGTGCCAGCTCATATTGCCGCCAAATGTGCACACTGGAGCTTGAATTTGTCGGTGCGACGATGACGACAAAATATACAAATAAATCTCACGCTGCATGTTAATTGAGCAGCTCTGCGTTACTTTATTAAGCGGCAAACACTACAGTGTGTGCTTCAGGCACTCAGGATTTCAGTACAAACCTAGACGGTTTCAACATGGAGAACCTTGTCCTCGACGTCAAGCATGGTGTATGTACCATACTTGGCGTAGTGGCCAGGCGAGTCCGCTCTCCCATCCCCAGCGATGACCAGCTGCCTTCCTGCTGCGGCCGAGTCCAGCTCCAGCTGGTGCTTGTTCCACACCTGGTTATGTAAAATGAAGGATTCCTACAATGAAACTGGGTTTGCAACAAAGGCGTGAAGACATAAACCAATGTCTTTTTTTGTCCCATTTGTTGGCACGACCGCAACCTTGAATTATGGCCAAGTTATTTTCGTTGCTGTACCCAAGGAAACACAGATGAACAGTACAAATGCCATTTCTGTTAATACTTGCTCTACAAGAGGGGTCAAATGAAATGAAATAGACATTTGATTAACCACTCAGCTCTTCACATTTTGAGCATGCCATTACAATACCCCAAAGGAGAAAATAGGGCCACCCTACCGACTGCCCTCGTGATTGAAAAGGATCGGCATATAAAGGCAGCCTAGTTTGGAAATGGCACTTTCCACAGCTGTTTGAGTGAAGGTATTGACTCTTTTTTTCTGATATAAATAAATTCTCAGCTCTGAAGTACATACTGCCATCATAATATTTTGTGTTGTGTTTCAGCTTTATAGCTCTGCATGGCCTTAATACTTTTTCTTCAAGATAGCTTCTCGATTGCCGGGAGCAGAAAGGCCTTCTGAATAATAAAGAAGGTCGTGTAGCAGAAACAGGCGATGCCCATGCTACTGAGCATCCGCAGGGCCTTCTTGATGCTGCAGCCCGTGAAGAGGATTGCAGCAGCCACCAGGATGTTGCCAACTGGCTTCCGCCTGATGACAGGTTGGCTGCACCACGTCTCTGTATGGCTGCTCCAACAAAGTGTCGACACCTGAAGGCTTGAGTCCTGGACTGTCTTGTCGATGTGAGTGTTGGGGGCAGCACAGGAGCGACAAGTCTCCAGTAGCTGGTCCAGGCATGACTCGAAGACGATGAACTTCTGCTCATGCACCAAAGACGGAGCTTCCTTCTCGGGGCTATGTTGCAAAAACAAACATCATCTCAACAAGTGGCTCAGTCAAGAATGAAGATGCGGTCAGTTATTGCTCAAGAGCATACAAACCTAGCAAAGCTGTCCTCTGACAGACAGTAGCTGGAATCCGCTTCTGCTCTTGGTGGACACAAATCTGAGAGATCCAGATCAGTGTCGAGCCATCGTCTCCGTGAGACGGTGAAGAACACCAGACCATCGTCCCCGAAACATCCGTCTGCACGAACCAGGTCCTTGACGGCGGTTTGATGCATGCCTGGGTAACTGGTGAACAGTGTGGAGCTCTAGAAACATGCCTTTACACAATAAAATGCACATATTTGAATTTAATATTGGATTGGTGGCTACTTGGAACACTTCAGAAATTGTGCCAAAGCTTCTAATAAAGAAACTCTCATGACATCCCATGAATTCTAGAAGTACATCTCTAGAATTGCTCAAGTAATATCTTCATGTATAAGTCAACAGGTATCTTGGCTTCACACCAATCTATATAACTTTCATGGTAAATATTTTGTGATATGCATTTAAAAATCATCTGGCTTGAGACATTCCATCAAAAGCAGTAGGGGTGTGACAGCACTTGATGGAGTGTTTAACAAACAGCACTTTCTATCTGAAGTTTGTGAAAAAAATAAACTCGGTAAATTGTGACCGTCGCACTGTGGCGTCACATGATACCATGTTGTCATATGACAATGATGTCACGTGGCATTCTGACATCATGCAATGCCATAAACACAAACATAAGGTTCCCATATAAAGTAATCACTTTAAGGCATTCTCACACCAACCAAAACAAGTTCCAGCATATGACCCCACCTTTATTTTTGTAGATGCCCGTCGTCTGTGTAAGTGCACACCGTGTCTTGCAACACGCTGCTGCTGATGCCAAAGACGGCCTTGTGCCAGTTGCCGCACTGGAGTTCCCTAAAGAGAAAAGAAAGAAGGAACTATAAAATCACCTGGGAACCGTTGATACCATCAAAGCATTGTATGGGTGTTCACGGTGGCATCAAGGCACGCAATTTGGGCACATGTTCAAACAGTTGTTCTAAGACAGATATTGCAATATGGCAGAGGTTCAGTTAGTGGCCCATACATACCGGAGGGCGTACGGGGGCTGTCAGTCAGGGCCGTAGCGTACAGGGACCCCGCGGCAGCCAGCTGTCCTCTGGCCGAGGCAGCTGAAGGAAGGTGAGAGAACGGAGAAGAACGCTATTACTGAAGAAACTATAAAGATTCCAAAAAAACACCAATGGTCCATGCACACCTAGCACGCAGTTCACGATCCCATTAGATTCAATTCCCCTCACTCATTATATAGCACTCGGTTTGTGGCCCATACATACCGGAGGGCGTGCGAGGGCTGTCGGTCAGGGCTGTAGCGTTCAGGGACCCCGCGGCAGCCAGCTGTCCTCTGGCCGAGGCAGCTGAAGGAAGGTAAGAGAACGGAGAAGAACGCTATTGCTGAAGAAACTATAAAGATTCTAAAAAAACACCAATGTTCCGTGCACACCTAGCACACAGTTCATGATCCCATTAGATTCAATTTCCCTCACTCATTATATAGCACTCGATTTGTGGCCCATACATACCGGAGGGCGTGCGAGGGCTGTCGGTCAGGGCCGTAGCGGTTGGGGACGCTGCGGCAGCCAGCTGTCCACCAGCTGCAGCACCCAGGGTAACTGCAGAGGTTAGGTAGAGAGCAGGGAGCAAAAGTACTCAGGAAATATGCTTAGACTTTTGTTCCAAATATTGTGGGCTAACAATACTGGTGTGCAGGCACGTCAGGATTTTGATTCAGGGGGGGAGGGGCGATGACAAAATGCTCTAGGGGGGGGGGGCACAGCAAAATGGTAGATTTCGGGGGGGAGGGGGGGGAGGCCGGGCCCCATGCCCTCCAGCCTTGATATGTGCCTGTTGATGTGGCATGAACAGGTGTTTATCGAAAGACAAGAAATTTCTGTGAATTCCTACCTGATTTAGCAGATGACTGCTCCACCACTTCGAGCTCAGTATTTCCCCAGGTATCATCCTCCTCTTCCAGGCTGTGAGCGGCATCGCACAGAGGCGTCTGGTGCAAATAATAGTATATCAAATGACGACTCGTTACTTCATTTCACATTAGCAAAACTACAAGCAATGTTTAGTCGCACGCGAATATATCATGCGTAAAATTAATTAATACCCTTAACACTTCTGAATAAAACGACGATTCACAAACATGGGAATGTTTTATAAAGAGAATTCTCACTTACCACTTTGCGTCGCTTCTCGATGTGTTCGGCGAGGTCTTCCGGTTTGCGCTTTTTCGAAAACACACTCGGAAGAGCTCCTGGGTTCAACCGATTGTGTTTGGTCGGCAAATGCACACTCTTCAGTGCACTGGGGCTCCTGATGTAGTCCTCATCCCGAAAATGCGCGCTACATAGACGATCACTTTTCGAGGGAACGCCTGTTGGAAAGGACGGGCGAGCGAGGCGACTCCACAGGTAACGGAGCTTCTCGTCCTTCGGAAACCTGTGTGTGCCGACGTCTCACAACGAACAACACTGTTCCCACAACCTTCTGCCGCACAATATTTTGGCATCCCGTCGTAAGGTCGCCGAAAAACCTCGCAGAAAAATGATGCGTGGGAAACTTCACGACGAAGACACGCGCACCAAGCCGAAGCACGCGTCGCGCGAGAGCTGAAACCAAGGTGGCTCACTTCGTTTTGGCTCTTTCCACCAAGACGCCTCGGTATTGCGTTCAGGCCTAGGCAATCTATACCAGTGAGCGGACATACTGCTGTGGCGCTGCTTTCAGAGGCATGTTGTCGTCACGACATTCCGTTGAAGCTTCATAACCAACTACCAGGTGGTTTTTGATTATCGTTTAATTCACTTTAAAATATGTTTTCTTGCGTTTTCTAGCACAATATTTATGTTTCTGTGGTTCCGCTGCTACCTGCGTCATGCTGAAACAAAGAAATGAGCTCCAGAATTTGGTTTCCGTACCCCTTTAAAGCTTCTTCTCATTCCGTTGCACGTGAACAGAGCTTGCTTTTGTTGTCTCCATGTGCGGATGCTGCGTTAATTTACGGCGAATTGTCGTCTGGCAGCACTGTTGCCGATGTCTTCCGCAACCAAAACTTTTCTTTTGAAGGAGGTCAAACATTGTTTTCGCGCTGACGCCATTGCGTAGCCTGACCGTGGATGCATGGTGGCGCCTTGGACATTGTGATTGTAATGATGATGATAGCTGTTTTGAATGCCATATTGCTTCGAAACCGAAACTACGTCAAACTGCATTAGATCGCGCCTCATCGAAGGTGAAAATTGTTGGGGCCCGCATATAATACGAACCGCAAATTTTACATGACAAAATTAAAAAAAAAAAAAAAAAAAAAAAAAAAAAAAAAAAACTTGTATTATACGCTGGTTTACGGTAAATGAATATCCAACGATTTTCGGACTTCGGTCGAAGTCCGGACCTCTCTACCGCTGCTGCCAAAGGATTGGCGAACGACGACATCATCGACTTAAACGCGACATGTGACTCGGTCACCGACGCAGAAAGCGTTGCAAATGTAGAGGACACCGGCAGCTCGATCACCAATGCAGACATCGTCACCAACGCAAACGTGAAGAGCTCGTCAATCGCCGATGTATGCAGCGTCGCGAACGAAGAGGGCACTGGTAACTCGATCGCCGACGCAGGCATCGTCACCAATGAAAAGACGACAAGCTCCTCAACCGCAGATGAAAGCAGCGTCGCAAACGAAGGGGACTCCAGCAACTCAGTCGCTCATGCACAGACAGTGATGACCGTCTACAGGTTAGTAAGAACTTTTTACGAGGATCAGATTGTTATACAGTGCACTGATCACATCACGCACATTTTGCAGCAACAAGATCTCAAGGAACAGACTGCCATCCAAGCCGAACTGATCAAGAATCGGCAGTTTGAACTGACAAGCTGTTAAGACCAGCTGAAAGGGGCTGAAGACACCCTGAAGGAGATGCGTTCAGAGCTTGAGCTAGCTCTTACAAAATGCAGGGTGCTGGATGCTCAAGAAATAGAGTTGAGTCAATCTAAACAGGCTCCATACAAAGCTGAACGGAAGCCTGAGCTTGCACTGGAAGAATGCTGCACACTTAAGGCAAGTAGAAAATTTTCCATTGAGTGTTTTAAGGAAAACCCGGAAGATGTCTAGTTTTATGCCGGGCTTTCAAGATATATGTGCAGTTTCAGAGTCTTTGGACCTTTTGGCACCAGGGAAAAATGGGGAGAATGTTAAAGGACCCATGAAACGGTTTTTAGACTTCTGGCCAAATAAGATAGCGTTTGGGGATGCCCCTCAACTCATACAATGTTTCCCGAGTCACGCGCGCATAACGCACCGCGGGGTATGCGGCTTCCGGTTTTGTCCTCTCCTTAGCACTGTGGACGTTGCTACAGCGAGAGCAGATTCTCCCCTCTCTCCCCATTAATAAGCTGCTAAGAGTGGCCATTTCGACGGCGTGGAATGCACGTTGCAAAAGAACCCTGGAAGCTAGCCATCAGCATGCGCTTAGCAGTCACGCACACAGCTATGGCCGCCAGTGAATACTTCCTATACTCTGTTTCACCTTGTATTGTACCGGAGGAAAGGCTACAAGCATGAGCTCCTTGCTCTATGGCACACCTCGGCGGCACAAGCTCTCGTGCACCAAGGGCAGCTGCCAATGCTATGAGCTTGCGCTTCTAGCCTTCGCTGCGGTACAACACAAAGTGAAATGGAGTATAGTTGCAGGCAGGTGAACCAGGCGCACGAGGAAGAAAACGAACCACACAGCTGCCGAAACATGGTTTTTATATCATGTTGATCACACCTCTCGTCCGGTAGCAGCCAGCCAAGGTTGCTAGTCAGCGGAGCTGCGGGGAGGGGCTGCTTTGACCTACTCCGGATAGATGGCGCTGCAAACATTTTTTGTTCTGAACGAGAATATAAAACTTTCGATTCATTTGTTTATGTTGGAACGAAATCATTTCTAAACGTTACCATTAAACTGAGAATATACTTGTTCAAAAGCGATCTCAGTAACCGCACCCGCCATGACGTCACGAAGTCAGTTCATATGGCCGCCGTACGTGAAGTCAAGTCAAGAAATAGTTCCTTTTGTTTTTGCGGTTACACAGCGCATTTGCGACATTTTTAGAGAAGTGGTCGGTTTTTATGGTCCTTGTGCTAAAGTAAACAAAAAGGGTAATAAGGTGCACATTCTCTCGATGTTAAAATCGTTTCATGGGCCCTTTAAAGCGTGGTCTACTACCTACAGCAACAATGCCACAAGTGCTGGCAGGCCTCCTCTTTTGTCTTCTGCGGAGCAGCTATTTTTGGTTCTGGTTCGCCTTCGGCTTCGTCTCTTCGAAAAGGACCTCGCATACAAATTCAAAGTCTCCACTGCAACAGTTTTGAAAATATGTATAACTTATATTAGTTATAACTACACCAGTGATATGATTGCTGCGCCAAGGGGCAAACCTTGCTACATCCTGCTACATTTTGACAAAATATGCGTAATCTGCGCCAAGCCTGCACCAAAGGACCAGTGTCGGTCGCCTTTCAGAACCGAAACTAAACTGAGTACTGTAACTGAGCACGCGTGAGCTACCTGGCGGTGCAAGCGGTCGCCCGACACTAAGGTGCCTCGATGGGCGTCTGTCATAGGGTGAAGACACCCATTTTTGTATTAAAAACTGCCTATGCATGCCAAATGGGCCTTAAAATGGAGCCAAAACACCGGGCAGAGCTAAGCGCTCGCTCCGAACGAGATCGAAGCGAATGCATTATAGGGACAGAAATTGCCGTGATTCCGCCACCTTAAGGCCTCATTCACACAGCCGTTTTTTTTTCTGTCCCGGCACCGTCCCGGCGCCGGCGTGGAAAGACGCCGGTACGGAGGCTGCGCGAGAGAGTGTTCGGACAGAGAAAAACGGCATCGGCAAAGTTGGATTGGATTGTGACAACTGATCAGTAATTGCGCACAGCTCAAATTATTTTATTCCTTTAGATAATTAAAACGTTTGAAACAATATAATACACGACTATATGTTTTCCTGAAACGACAAATTGAACAGTTATTTGCTCTTCAACTGTATTGTAAATCTTGGTATTTTGTATCTTAAAGAGTTTAGGTACATTTCATGGAAAATGTCTGGCAACAAGTCACATTTGTTTATGTTTACAAGTGTTTTTCAGCTGTTCGCACGCTCGCGAAAACCCACAAACGAGGAGCAATGGCGAGCCACTTGAACCAAGGGTCGTCTTTTGTTTTTCTGAGCACGCTGCTTTTAATGTTTCTATAGCGCAAGCGAAACTCGGGGCGCGGAAGGATAGCTCGGCGACCAAGGAGCGTCTGGATGCGGAAGATGTGTCGGAATCGCAACTCCGGCCATTCGGCAACTCTCCTTCCGCTGCTGCAAAAATCGGACACAGAATATTTCTACGAGTAAGTGCAAGGTCTCGGGTTCGGTCGCACGGGTCCTAGTACATGTCACCTGACTGTCATGCTTTTTGCAGCTACATGAGGATGCTTTCAGCCACATTTGACAGGCTCCTCTCCTTGGTGGAAAACTCAATCCGAAGACGGACACAAACTGGAGAGAACGTTTCCCGGCAAGGACGCCACTGGAAATCACACTAAGGTAGGAATGTGCTGTTAGTTGTAGAGATGTTGGATCGAAACACAGTTTTCAATAAACACCTGTCGCAGTTGTGTCGACACGGTGGTACCCCACTCAAGCAAACTATAAATCCCCCGTAAACACCTCTTTGGTTGCCATACTGGAGCTCTGAGCGTCTTAAGGGGGGACACTACCCAGAAAAAACAATTTCTGCAAAAAAAAGTTGATTTTGACAAATGTCATATTTACATCCACCAACATCCAGAGAGTATTCCCAGAAAGTTTCATTAGTTTACACTGCATAATTAATTTTTCATAAATTTTTTTTGGTCCACCAATGGTAAAGAAAAGGTAGAGGTTGGAGCACTTCAAATGCATTTTTCTCCATTCCAGTTTTTGGCAGAAATTTCACTTT